GCTAGAAAACGGGATTGCAGAACATAGTAGTTCTGGGCGTCCCCATGTATTCTTGTGCCCAAATCTGACAACTCTTTGGGGTTTTGTTCAGATTTTCGAAAGTTGAACGCCGTTACTAAACCAGACAGTTTCACGTTGCCGAGAATGGACGACTGCGTGGGTCAAGTTGGTTCCGCTCGGTTTGTCAGCAAATTTGACTTATTAAAGGGATACTGGCAGGTACCGTTAACACGACGTGCCCGTGAAGTCTCTGCGTTCATAACGCCAACTGGCTTGTACTCCTATACAGTCATGCCATTTGGCCTACAAAATGCACCCGCGACATTTCAACAACTCATGAACAGCGTCATAGGAGATGGTTAACAGTAAACCTTGCAAAGTGTGAGTTTGCAACTACTGTTACTTATCTGGGACGTGTTGTGGGCCAGGTCTGACCCGTTGCAGCTAAAGTCGAATCCGTTGAGCTGTTCCCTGTTCCGGTTACAAAAAAAGATTTAATGCGATTTTTGTTTTTGTAAAGATTTTAGATCTGTTGTGTCACCATTAACAAACCTGCTGCGTAAAGATATTACATTTGTGTGGATTCAAGCGGGTGAAAAGACTCCTCTGTGCTGTTCCCGTGCTCGCCGCGCCTCGTCTGACCAAATCATTTCATCGCTACGTGGACGCAAGCCACGTTGGCGCTGGGGCTGTCCTTACGCAAGTAGATGACCTTGGTATCGACAGGCCGGTCAGTTATTTTTCTAGGAAGTTCAACAAACATCAGCTGACCTATTTGGTGATCGAGAAGGAAACCTACGCTTTAATTCTTGCATTGCAACACTTTGATGTTTACCTAAACGGTAGCGCTGAGACCGTGGTCCACACCAACCATAACGCGGTCACGTTTTTGTCAAAGTTAAAGTGTCCAAACCAGCGGTTAATTCATTGGTCACTGTTTTTACAGACTTATAACATGGACATCCGCTACATTAAAGAAGAAGCCAGCGAAAATGTCTCAAAATCAGTTAGTGCAGCTTTAAAGCACTGCTTAGGTGAAAGAGAAAACACTTGTGGAGTACAAACTGTAGATAGCAGGAGCTTTCACTTTTACAGTTAATATTGTACCTTAGCAGTTCTTGTTGTACAGTCTGACAGCAGCGAGAAGGAAACAACCTCTCCTCACACAGCGGTGGACCAGTCTGTCGCTGAAGCTGCTCTCCTGAGCCGACAGTGGACATTGGATGGATTTACAAATGTGACGCAGACTTATACAGAGGTGTTTTGTTCTCCATGTGAGGACCAAGCTCTCACAAAACACTGCATCTCATGTTTACGATCACAACATGACCCTTGAGGGACACCGTAGATGCAGCACTAGCTTGAGTGTTTGAGTTCCCAGAGAACAGGTCACATGTAACTTATATTTATATATTTATGAACAAAGGTTTAAAAGCGAGTTATTCTTGATAAAAATATATTGTCCATAATATTTATGTTCAGGCGGATTATCCAATCAGAGAGCAGAATGAGGCTCTGATTGGATTTAGCTGAATTTACAAAGTTCACAAATGAAGAAAATAGCAGACGACATATTCGAGTTTGTATCAGTTCAAGCTGAACTCCAGCAGGTGGATTGCATCAGTGCATTGGAGCTACACGTGTCACATGATTATAATGACTTTATTTTACCATTGGGACTGTCAGGATGTTGTCAGGAAAACTACCACATTCTTCTGTTCTAGTAACAGTGTGAGATTTCATAACACTTTTAAGCAACTTTTGTTAAAGTTAAACTCATCATTCTATCAATGTGCAGAAGCCAGTACTTTTCCCTTGTTTTGTCTATCTGAAGGCCAAGCTACATGGCACCGTGGCAGCTGCTGATTGGAGGTCTCCATGCCTCCGCTCTGTATAATACACTTGCATTCTGTTGTATCTGTGTTCGTGTTGTTCGTGCTGTCTCTACCATCAAGGTAACACTTTACATTACGGGCCGGTAAGTCCATGGTACTTACAGTGGTACTTCTAGGTACTTACAGTGGTACTTCTAGGTACTTACCACCGTAAGTACCACCGTAAGTACCACCGTAAGTACCACCGTAAGTACCACCGTAAGTACCACCGTAAGTACCTAGAAGTACCACTGTAAGTACCTAGAAGTACCACTGTAAGTACCATGGACTTACCGGCCCGTAATGTAAAGTGTTACCCCATCTCTTGTATAGAGGTGACGTCCCCTCGACTCAAACAGGCTGATCCAGAGTCTGCTCCTCTGTCTGTGAGCCCGCCTCCCCCCACCCGCACGGTGACGTATCATCACGCTGCGAGTTATTTATCTCAGGTACATAGTCATTTCAGACCTGAGAATAAACTTTTTCCTTCAATGACAATCTGTCACATCGAGACCTATGTCGTCGGTCCAGAATCCAACCCTAATTATTTAGTTTACAGAGGTTAACGGCGAGTTAGCGTCACTGATACTTACCGATAGGGGGGTCTGTGTTAGCGTCTTTTATCGTGGGAATAACATTGGTTTCCAGATCAGTTTTTGAGTAAGTCCAGTTCCATTGTCTCTGTAGTTCTGGAACAGTCTTAGTGAAGTGTCGCAGATGAACAGATTCATTTCAAACAGAGGCAGATCCCCGTGAAAAAAAGCTGCATTCTTCCTCTTTAGGCCAAATAGTGTGTCACATATTAACAAGTTGAAATGATCCTAACACTTTTGTTGTTGACAAAAGCATATAAAAAGTAGCTCCATGTGTTGTCCGCGGGACCAAGCCATAAACATACGCTGGACTCGGGAGCTGGCTGTGCGCCGTGATCAGCTGTTTCGATTTGTCAACCACCTCCTGGATTTTAGTATTATTGTTAATTTCACTATTTTTGACGACAAATGTGTTTGTTTTTTCTTTAAATAGTCAATACAATACACAAACGGGCTTCAGCGCATCATATTTGTCATCAGAGTGGTTATTGTCACAGAAGTGGTTATTGTCACAGAAGTGGACCCGGGCATTTCACTGCCTCTCGAGGGTAGAGGAGAAAAATCGCTCTCTAACTAAAGCTTGAAGGAATCAGTGAAAGACCTACTCTGGGCATGTGTATGGAGGCCAAATTGCACTGCAATCATGTTTAAAGCAGAGAAAAGTCAAAAAGGGGTCCTTTAAGGGTCTCAGGTTTTATGGATTGTGTGTTGGACTCTGTGCAGAGACAGAGATTGAGCACGATTTAAGGAAGGCTTTACTTACAAAAAGTAAACAACAGAAACACAGGGCAGGCAGTGGAGACAGGGATCTGGCTGGTCAGGAAAAACAGAGACCTGAACACACAAAAACCCATAAGCAAATAAACCACAAGAGCACAAACTCATTCTGCTGCTGGATACTGACTCTGGACATATAACAATCTTGCAGAGAAGTGATGTCTGCGCCAGAGCTTTAAGCAGAGCTGATCACAGAGCTGTCACACACATGCCCTGAAACAAACAGAAAGGGAGGGGGGAGGCAGAGCAGACCCAAACCCAACATCAAGCTCATTTAGGGTCAGGGACAAATGTTTTTGTTTAGACTTTTCTTTGATACAGAAGTCTCCAGAGTTTATTGAGTGGGTTGTTGTATCGTTCATATTTTGCTCAGTGTTCTTGTTTTTTTTTTTTTCAATGGAGGTATTTTGACCAAAACATTGTTTTTTCTTGGACTTGGATATTATTTTCTGTGTATATTTCTGAACAAATTAACTTAATTATTATTGTTTTAAAGGCCATGTACCCAACCCCATAAACGCGCACAGGACCATGCGTGTCTTTGAGTAATCTGTGCACCCACACTGCTGCAGGAAACAGTCCGCGTCTCTCCTCTCCTCTCGAAGTGCGATTAAACGCCCTAAATAAAGCTCTGATACCTACATTTTGCATTGCATTAAAAGTTCATGTTTGAGCCCAAAAGTAATATGTTGTGAACAAATTAAACAGATTCAGAGCCAGCAAATGGCTGACAATATGCATTTCAGTCTTTTTTGACCAATTCTCATCCCTGTAACAAACAATAGTGTTGTCTGTGTCCACCTCCCTCACTCTGAGACATGTTCATTACCCTCTTGTAATGTAGACTATTACATTTTATTTTATTGTTGAAACTGCACATATCCTGATCCTCTACAGTATTTGCTTCCACATACTGTATAAACCAGGAGTCGGCAACCTGCGGCTCCGGAGGCGCATGCGTCTCTTTCCTTCTGTAGAAGGAAAAACGTTCTTAACGTTTTTAAATGCTGTAAAATTGTGCATAAGTAATATTCAATTTAAACATTTCTGTCAACGTGTCTGTCAAACCGGCGTGTGAGCATCATAGACTGTGCGCATGGATCCCAAAGCTAAAAAGAGAAGAGTCGATAATAAGACTGGACTAAGAATGAAAATTAACATTTGCTTTCAGTCAATGAGGAAGGACTGCTTCATGTTTACGATGTAATGAGAAGTTTCTATGAGATAATTGTAACTGTGCTTAGAAACTACGAAAATGGCCGCTCGGGGTGGAGTTGAACCTGTGTCACCTGGATGGGGGCGTGGTCAAAAGCGCCTCATTTGCATTTAAAGAGACAGCACCAAAACAGGTTGCTCTCAGACGCACCTCAGAACAGGTGTAGAAGAAAGGCCCGTGGAGCTACAAATAATGAGACTCAGACCCAGGCATTGCAGTTACGCTTTATATAGGCCACAAATTAATGATTTGAAAACACGATATGTCCACTTTAAACCAAAGATTGCTATTGTGGGATAGGTGTCAAAAGTAGATAATTGTCTCAACTGTCAGTAACATGTAGTGAAATGACAAAGACACATTTGCATCTGTTTTAGTTTGGTTTAAGCAGTCAAGAAACACAAAACAATATCTACGTTTTCACAGTGTTCAAAACGTCCTCTTCAGTCTCTCACTTCTTATAGCTCTCCACAGTCAGAGAGCCATGTCTCCTGTAGCTCCCCACACTCAGAGAGCACTGTCTCCTGTAGCTCTCCTCACACTCAGAGAGCACTGTCTCCTGTAGCTCCCCACACTCAGAGAGCACTGTCTCCTGTAGCTCTCCTCACACTCAGAGAGCACTGTCTCCTGCAGCTCCCCACACTCAGAGAGCACTGTCTCCTGTAGCTCTCCACACTCAGAGAGCACTGTCTCCTGTAGCTCTCCACACTCAGAGAGCACTGTCTCCTGTAGCTCCCAGTAAGTCATAATGATGTTGTATAATAATAATAATAATGTCTGATTTCCTTCTGACCTTTTTTGTGAAATAAAACGTGAATAACTTTGCTCTGGTTTACTTTCTACACAACACATTTGGTTTGACATCGTTCAGAAGTGGTTCTGGTGAAAGGTTGTGTTTTGGGGTTTAATACAAATATTTTCACACAAAAAAAAATGTTTTTGTGTTTCCTCCAAAAACAGGGTTCATGTTTTTATTTGTTCCATGTTAGTGTTCACACCACATCAGCACCGCAGTGATCTTAGGTTCTCCCTGATCTTTGGCTCATGGTTTGGACATGCAGACATCAGCTGCTCTTAGGATCTTTCAACATTTAAATATACTGTGGTTTTTTATTAGAAGTCGCTCTGGAGAAGATGTTGCATCAGCCGAAAATGTAAAATGATCCAGAAATTGCTTACGGGAAAGAAAATGGATGGATATATTGCACACAAAGGTCGCTCTAGAGTACAGTTCTCACCCCAGGCCAAACTATGACAAAAACTGTGATTATTAATTCGAATAATACTGTAGTCTGCTTCTGATTGTCTACAAAAAATCAGATTCCCCTTCCCCCTATCCCCGTCCATTCATGAAAGAACGTGTAATTATATAAAAGATTTTGAGCATTAATCAATCAATCATCATTTTTGTTTATAGAGCACTTTTCCCACAGACCATTAGACCATAAACATTAAATTCACACAGGGATTAAAACAAACAATAAAATCATAAAAATCACAGTGCATTAAAAAGATACAATCCTTCAGTTGTGTTCACAGCTAAACAGAACTGTGGTAAACATAGAAGTCTGTCTCACATTCTCAGGAAGACGGTTCTAGATTTTTAGCTGCATACATCTGAAACGCCGCCTCCCCATGTTTAGTCCTGACTCTGGGACCAGTCCCTGTGCTCCTCGGTCCCTGTGCTCCTCGGTCCCTGTGCTCCTCGGTCCCTGTGCTCCTCGGTCCCTGTGCTCCTCGGTCCCTGTGCTCCTCAGTCCCTGTGGGTTCATACTGTATGCGTCTGATTTTCGACACTCACTTTCTGAAGTTTCTGATGAAAAGTTCATCTTATTTGATATATTAAGTTGATTTGACTTTGAAGTTGTAGTGAACTTCTGAAAGTTCAAGTGGCTCACAACAGATAGTTCCAGTTCCAACTGGAAATTTTATTGTCAGTGAATGCAAAAATCTTAGTAAGGTGAACAATTTTGAGTTGTCGTTTTTACAGTTCACCGAGCTATAGTGAGGTCAACTTATCTGCGTTTGCTCATTTAAATATGTGTTATGGCAACCAGCTGCATTCAACATTTTGAACAAACTAATTTGACCAAAAAAATCACTGTATTTATTTTTACCAACCGTAATCGACAGGGCCAAGCCAAAGTAGCCCTGTATATTCTCTTTGTCAGTCTTAGAAACATTAAGTTTCCCCTCTGGTTCACAGTGTGTGCGGCACGGTGGCTGAGAGGATCGCACTCTCGCTTCTTGACACGAAGGTCCTAGGTTCGAATCCCGGTCGGAACAGGGCATTTCTGTGTGGAATTGGCATGTTCTCTGTGTCTGCATAGGTTTCCTCCGGGTGCTCCGGTTTCCCCTACCCAAGTGACCTTGGTCCATGAAATGCGCTATATAAATAAACATCATGATCTTTTAATGTGGGGGCTAATTTAAACTCAAAATAGTAAGTTATTGTAGGGGACAGTAATCTGAACTTCAAAAGGTAAGTTTTTACAGACTTGAAATTTCCAGTAACTTGAATTTAAACACTTAGTTGGCAGAACTTGGAAAACTTAACTGACACAACTTAATTAAGTGTAGTTCTTCAAAACTTGAAGAATTAAGTTAATGCCTTCAACTCAAAAATCCTTCGCAGCTGGTTGCTTTGAAATTTTGAGTTGAACTAACTTTTTCTTTTTTACAGTGAGTCCAATTAAAATAATGGACAATTGCTCCTGCAGCCCTGAACAGGACATGCGAGGTGCGCGGGTCGGCCCGAAACCCGCAGTCAACCCGCGGGTCCCGCGGTTTCGGGCGGGTTGGATGCCTCAAAAATATGAGTCATGTCAGGTGCGGGTGGGTCGGGTCAGAAAGCTCCTGATCCCTATATAATATTATATATGTGAGCCACGGTATGGGAGTCCCTTGAGTACATTTGCAATCGCGCAGGGAGGCTGTTAAACAAAAAAATCATGCTGACAAACAGGATCGCTCCTTCCTGACTCCCCGCTTAAAGCCTCAGAACACTCCAGCCCGAGGACAGACGTGTGATCTAGAGCAGTGTTTTTCAACCTTTTTTGAGCCAAGGCACACTTTTTTCACTGAAAAAATCTTGCGGCACACCTCCAGGAGAAAATGTAAAAATGTATACAGTACTAATGTAAAAAAATATATACTGTACATACTCTGTGTGATATATAAAGTATATCTTATCTTATAATGTATACAGTATACTCTGTAGCCTATATTCACAATATACAGTTATTCTCATCAAAATGCTTAAGTCCAGGCCTTGACATTAAGCTTTATTTAATATTTCTCGATACAATTAACAAGAGTTTGGGAATAAAGTGGCACTAACTGTGTGGAAAAAAACTAAGAAAATCCACTCTCTGCCCAAATAGTCAAATAATAACTCACACAAAGAACATGCATTGTTAGTGCATGGGAAACATTTTGGTATCCGAGCTTTAAATTCAGGAGTTTTGGATGAGGGACACGGGAGGTCCTGAACGCGAGTCCATGGTTCTGTCCGGTCTGCATGTCTGTGGTTCTGTCCACTCGACTACGGTCTGCGCTCGGTACCCAGTTCAGAAGTGCGTTCGCGAGAGCTGTTGTACAAAAATGGTACATTTCATAGTTAAACCACTACAACGCGGCCACAGCTGCCCCGGGGCAGAGCGGAGGATGTTAATCCCGTTCAGAAACGGCATAATTCATTTTCAAAAACGTCTCTATCACTTTCACTTCTCACTCGCCACAAAGCTCTTGTCTCGCTCCCTCCCACATTTGTTGGTCGCATCCAATTTTACCTTTCTCACCACAATGCTGACCTGTTACAGCCAGTGGTCGCATCCAATTTTTCAGTTTCAAAGTACTTAGCTATCTGCTGCCATCTACTGATTTGAAAAAGTATTACATGGTTACTCACAGTTCAAAACAAGTCACCGCTCGTCAACAGCGAATGCAGCTATTTTTAGACAAAGTAGACGAATTTCTCACGGCACACCAGACAATATCATACGGCACACTAGTGTGCCGCGGCACAGTGGTTGAAAAACACTGATCTAGAGGCACCGAGACTGATGACGGTGTGGGCCTCACAGCAGAGGCCTAAAGCAGGGGCCTCATTACTTTAATACTTACAGTCTGTGGTAAATACACGGGCTACAGGTGGTACACGTGCTTAGACTATATTAATATTGTATGTGTAACATTCAAAATAGATTGAGTGAATATTCCCTTTTCCTCATTTAGTGGTTTGCGGAGGAGAGAGCAGCGAGAGAAGTTTGGCAGTTAAAATAAATGAATTACAGCATGCTAAATTATTTGAAAGCATGTTCATTATGATTGTTATATTTATGTATTTATTATAAATGTTAGAAATGCCAGAGAAAAGGCGTCTGCTTTTTTTCTGAGTGGGAGGAGACACCAGCGGAGCTGTTTGAGTCAGATAACGTTCAGCGTTATATTACCAATAGTTTCTCTTTCCATAACGATATTCTCTCTTTTTGGAAAGATCACCTTAACGTGATGCAAACGTTTACGTTATATGCAGTAGTTTTAATGTTTGCGGGTTATTCCAGAGACTGGCCTGCTACAAGGAGTTGCCTGTTTTAACCAGATTGTCGATGTGCGCGGGGCAGAAACTCATAGGCGACTCACAAGTGCCACCTGGTGGTTGTTTTGGTCATTGCAGCGTCACTGGGGGGAAAAAAAAGAAAAGACACGTGATTCGCGCGTGAGCCTCGTGCAATTCACGCGTGAAAGGCGACAAAACGAAATGGGACCTACTGTATGTATTTTATCTGTTTGCTCGGTTTTCTCTTGGCCGCACATCTCAGATCACTCTTATAAGCGTCAAATGAAGCCACACTGTCACAGAGACGAAAACACAATTCTCTGGCGTTATTTCTGCACTTTCTCTATTCTCCACAGTACGATGCGTTTAATTGTAGCAATGGAAGTGTGTGTGACGCCGCTCTGAGCTCCCCACGCACCCCACACCTCAGCCATCAGACAAAGAAGCGTAAAGCAAAGGAACAGCCGATAAGAAGGAGGCTTCTGCTCCAGCAACTTGGAAGTCAAAAACATGATACTGAGTTCAGCCAGCAGGGGCAGGCGCGAGCTCTTTAGTGTCATTACTGTTTTTTTCATGGTTTGTTTTTCAAAGCCGTGGTCCCGATACTTTGAGCGTGCACATATAGATAATGTAAATCTAATTATGTCATGGCAGATATTGTGATCCATGCCTTTAGAGTTCTTTTGGAGATTTTGTGAATGACTTAACTGTAAAAGAGCGTATACTTAAGCCAAGGAGGGCAGATTTGTTGCTTTGAAAAAATAAAAAATAAATCCAGACAGCGATCTGTAGAACAATCACTTTCCTAAGGGTTTCTATGTGATTGTTACTCTTGCCTTTCCTGTGTTTAAACTGTTCGATTCCCTGATCTGTCTTTGGCGAATTGACAACTTTGTAAAGTCCTTTGTTAAGACTGCTGGTGCGATTTAGGGCTATACAAAAATAAGTTGAATTGAATCTTGCAGCCCCCCAAAAACACACACACACACACCAGATCTAGGATAACTAAACATGCAGTGAGGGTGAGTGCAAAGATACCACAGCACGTGAGGGGAGTGATGGTGCAGCAGTGAGGAACTCAAACCTCCACCAGAACCAGTCCTGGAGCACAGGGAGAACAGTGTCAGGTCTTATCCAAAAGAGGAGAGAATTAACTCAAAACAATCAAATGTAAGGGGTACAGACT